AAAAAACTGAAGTTAACAAGAAGTTGACAACAGCTAATTGAGTTTAACTTTAATTATAGCCAACTGTCTGATTAATTAGCTTCAAATTTGTGCCCTGTTAAATCATGTGAAGAGGGTGTTAGCTAGGTTCATCTAATGATAATCAATCTTTTCATTTTTAATTTTGGGGAAAGTGTGTGATTAATATACAGTAAATTTGTAGAAATATCAATTTGGTAAATAAATAAACAAATACGGGATATTGAGATTTTAAATTGTACACAGTATGATCATTTTTATTACAAAATAAAACAATATTTATACGAAGACTAACTAAATTTCTATGATATTTTAATTTCCAGCTAATAAGTGATACTTATATGATTTTCTATTCTCAAATAAGCATTTAATTTAAAATATAAATTAATTTGTCAAAAAATATTATAATTGAAATAAAAGTTTCTTTTAAGCTATATGTCATTTTATTATATAATTATAGTAAAAACTTTGAATTTATGTAATATATAATAACAATTAATGTTCTTTTTGAAACACATTTTTTTCCTGTGAGACAGTTGAACGGTTAGATGGACAGATCTATAATAGTTTAGAATAAATATACATAATTATATTGTAAAATATTATAATTTCATGTATTTTATTTAAACTATGACATTTGTATCTGAAAGTATTTATATTTGTTAAAAATGTATAATTGGCTAAAGACAAAAATGTCTATATATATAAAAAATATATAGCATAGATCATGACAAAGATTACACATACCAAAAGCTCATAATTAAAGTTAATTTTTTCTTAATTAATGAACCCTAAGCTATATATAGTGAATTGAGTTCTTTGACCCATAAACTAGGCTTTCAAAGCTATTATAAGTCTTCAATGGGAATGTTTCTAGCAAACTTCTGAACTAGGCATGGGCATATATAGAAACTCTATGGAGCCATCGTAAGACTCTCTTATGGAGCCATTTATACCTTTATGTACTGACACATGTCCAATGTGCATTTATTGAAGGACACGTGTCAATACATCATTTGTAAATAACTATGGATGACTTCATAAGTCGAGCCATCCGATGGCTCCATAGCAAAACCGTGAGCATATATATGTATGAAGTATCATGAGGTCCAACAATTTTTCTATTTTTTTTTTTACAAAAATAAATTAAAAATTGGTTGTCCACCATATAATAAATATATATGCACTGTAATAACTTTTTATCATGAGCAAGGAAATAAAGAGACAAAATCATATCTAACAAGAAAAGAAAAAAGGGATCATCAGTGTATAAATGCCCATATTCCTATCCCATTTGTGTTGTGGCCCCTCAATAAAAACCCCTTATTTGTCTTAGTCTTTTATTAAATGATTATATATGCCCACATTTTGTTGTTTAGGTAGAGAAAATATAAATTAATAAATGTTAAGTTTTCTTTATAAACTATGGGCACCAACAATTTTTCCTTTAACAATTTGTCTTCAATTAATAATATTAACAACATTAATAAAAAGATGTCACAATTTCATATTTATTTTATTTGGTACAAAAAAAAAAAAGGCAAAGCCTAAGAAACGCTAGACGGGATAAGTCACGCCGACAATATCATGCATTAGCCAATGAAAAGGGTTGTGGACCTCCTAATTAATAAATTCAATTTGAGGTCATTTAGTATGATCATTGTTATAATCAAATTATGTTATACAAAATTCTGTTCAACCACTAATGTTGACTAATCAATTGCAGTGGTTAGACTTGATGCATACGTTGCATAATATATGTCGAAAAAAGATCGTTTGTGATTAACCATGAAATTCATCATTGTTTCCAGGAAAATTAAGGGAAAAAAAAAATGAAAATGAGATGATAATAGTAATTTTATTTTTATTTTAAATCAATCTAATAATATATCTCTATATATACTTGGAAATGAATCGAGTATACGCACGTACACACGATCATTTGTGCATTAATTATTGAATCATATTTTATTCAAATAGGTATGGGTGATATTTTACGTGTCTACTACACATGAATATTTGGATAAGTACCAATATTTTTTTTAATGTTTGTAGTATATTGCATTGGGATCAAACACAATAATGAAAAGAATTCACATAAGTTCAAGGGTAGCAAACAAATAGAAAGTTAAGTGGTGATATTATTTAATAAATTAAAGTATTATACTAAAAAATAAGATAAAAAAATAAATTACACATTTAATTTGTTAAAAGAATAAAATAAAATGTCGACTCACATAACGACACAGTCTCACACAAAAATTTGTGTATTCTTTATATTAATGAGTTAAATATATATATATTTCATCGAAATTAATGT